CTTCGAAACATCTTACTCGTGACTCGCTCTACCACGGTTAACACAGGGGCTCCACCGGCTTGCCCTTCAGCCTCAGCAACCCCAGGACCATCCGATTTAGCTTCACCGCTAGGTTCTGATAAAGACCTCTCCAATAGACGGCTCATTTACCACCAATTTCAAGAGTTTCAAAATTTTGGGAAAATTCTAAAATTTTCCCAAAGTTTTACCAATGTTCATCTCAGAAGATGTCTCCTTCGTCTGAGTCTCACCACCTAAGATACAAAACTTGTCCCATGAGCCTCTCCCAAATGAAGGTAGTCACCTTCCACTGCTTCTTTGGAAGACTCCGAAGCTTTATCTACTCCTTTCCTCGCCGGCGCCGACCTACTGCTCCTCGGTACTATCAAATGAGCTTGTTTCTGCCTGCACTGTCTACATTGTAAAAAGCGCACGCCCATCTGATCGATCTGCACATCAGCCTTCACTACTCTAATTCAGAAGGCTCGACGCCCGTCAGGTTCGCGATTGGTTCCCAGGTGTTCTCAGCCGGTGGATAATCCTTCCATTTTACCAGGAATTCTTCTTCTGAGAAAATTCGAAAACCTTCGAAAACTCTTCGCTCCGCTAGAGAATTAGCCCATATTTTTTGGCAGATTTTCCATGCATAATACACACATTTTACACCCTAACTAAAAATGAATCTCGAATCAATCATAACGGCTGCGAGTCCAATTTCTGACACACTCATTTTCCGCTTGCTAACCGTTGCGGAGCTCCTACCAATATACGACATAAGAGTATTTCATTATTTTCCCGCGGAAAACGGACTGTGCTGTTTCGAAAGTCTTGAAAACTCTACTGATTCAATCATAGAGAATTGATTAGAATTGATTTGGACGAACGCGCGCACTGACAAGGCATGAAGTACCAGTGAAGTTTCACCCTAGTGATATGAAAAACACTAGTGAAAAACGTACTTCACGAATATCGCGTTTTCACCGAGTATTACACCACTCCACGTAAAACGGGTGAAACTCCAGTATATGGTCAGATATGACCCAAAAACGTCCAATAATTCTCCACATTATTTCTGTCATAAAAAGTGACCAAAACACGCAAAATGCAAGAAATTTTTTTCTCAGAAAGCGTAAAATATACCTCCCTAATTTTTTTTCCAATAAACTCCTTCACACACTCTTTTTACTACTTTTTCCAACGATACGAACGTCCAACAGACATTCCACTTCGTATTCCGCATCCTCATCCTCGTCAGCGTCCTCCTCTGCCAAATCTTGCGCCTCCGCTTTTCTAGCCGCGTTGTTGCGATATATGTAGTTCTTACGATAATTCCTGATAGTAAAAGATACGTTTCCAGACCTCGAAAATATCTTACTTCAGTTTACTAATAGCAGTCTGATTCCCAGCAACATTGTCAAGACGTATCCACCAATTCTCCAGCGGACCAGCACTGCCGATTTTCCCAGTTATAAGATACTCTTCTTCACGGTCACCGACGCGATAATCGCTCACAGTGTGCACCGTTTTAACCGCGATTTCCTTCGACAGAAGCGGGAAATTCGCTTTGGCATCGCTTGGTGGTGGCGAAGTCACCGACTGAAAAATGCGGTAATAATATAACTTCTACATACTATGACGATCATATATCCAATATATTGGTAATCATATCAATTTAGAGAAAACTCTCTCTGAATACCCACATTTTTATCATCTCTTGCTGTTTCCTCTGTAGCCGTCCTCTTCGGCGGATTGGCTTCGGTCGGGGTGGTGAGCCCGCGACGTTTCTTGGGCGAGATCTTCTTCTCCTCACCTATTCCGAATCATGGACGCTTGAGGCAAAATGAATAGGGCAAAAAGCACTACGTTGCTTTTCTCCCTTCTCCTTGGCCGCTTTCGCCCGTTGAGATGCACACGTGCCGAGGAACCACTTGGAGGCTTCAATGTACGCCTAAAATCGTCACCGCGCCACAAAATTACACCCTAGTGAAGAAAATATCATAAATAGATCGCTTGTGATTTGAGATGCAAAATAAGTAATCGATGAATCCGCGGTTGTCTTCCACAGAGAAAAAAATCGAATGCCAATGAAATCAGTTTTCGATATTTTCTGCGAATAATCGTAGACTCGGAAATCTTCATCCGGACTCACTACCTGCTCAAAAGGATATTTAGGCACGCTGATGCCAGCAAGAGCACCGCCCAACTGCTCTTCAACAACGGGAGTTTCAGCAACTTTGTTGGGGAGGGGAAAGATGTTGATCGTATTTCCGAACTTCGCAATCCATTCGTTCGAGTCGAAGTCGAAGGTAACCCCAACAGCCAGCTGAAAAGCATCTTTCACACGCTGTGGGACCTAAGATACTCCCACTACCTGAGCGATATCGTCGACGCGCTCTCTGAAGGAAGCCATCAGGAGTTAACAAGAAAAGACCAAGGGAGAAACCCTGTTACACGCATACGCAACCCCAAAGTAGATCTGGCAACTTGTTGTTGTACTCCATCGGGTGAGCATAGTTACAGATGAGTGGCGCCGCCACTCATAAGGCTTGTTGTGAACAAGTTGTTGAAGCTTCAGCCTGAAACATTACTTATGCGGTTCCGCGAGGGGCTGGACTGTTGTCCATGCGTTCCAAAGCATGGTGAGCAGAGTGTCCAGGACCCAAACCCAAACCAGACTCGATTGACTTCTCATACCGCCTCTCACGAACCTTACGAGAGGCATAAACCCTGACCTTAGCAATCCTAGACACGGATATAGGATCGTCAGTGTAATCAACCATAGTATTAGAGTTCTTACCACTTCTAGTCAATAAGTTATTTTTGGTATTGACTCAATACCAAAACTTATTGAACTCAATATCTGTCGCTTGACAAATACCATATACTATCCCTTAGCTATTGATGGAAGCGTAGTCACTAGCGGGTATACAATGATGAAACCGTATACCTTAGACCCTGTGCCTAAGTCCAGGCTCCAAGGGAAGATTCAGAGAATCAACTTCAGAACCAACCTTAGAACCTAACGCGTGGGGCGCCTGCGTTCACGCAGGAATAATATACAACACGCATGCACGGACCATGACTCGCACAAAGCAATATAACAGCCGTAACACAGTAGAACCGTAACAAAATGATATCATACTAACGGTATGGCATGATCTTAGTTAGCAGGGCTCCGTACTCTGCGCTGAACCGCACATACTCCCCAGAAGACTGAATATAAAAAATTGCCTGAGAAAAACCAAGCTCCTCAAATGAGAGATTATATCATTTTGTGTTTGTGAATCACAAACAACAATTGTACAACGAGATTCACTCATCCTTGGCATCGATGGACATAACCTCACGAGCGAGCAGTTAACCCTACTAAATTGGCCTTACCCAGAACGATATTATCCGCGGCCAACATACTTCATTGACGCCAGGGAATCCCTCAACAACTTGAGTATTCAAATGCCCACACGATCGGAGAGTCCGACCAATCTTCTAGGATCGCCTTTCACATGTTGAAATCAATTCTGAAACCGGCGATAAAGGGTCGAGAGCTCAGTTGTGTACGCGTATATACGACAATTCACTTCATCATTGGGCGGAGCGAAGCGGCGCATGTTCTCAACTTTGATAAACTGGAGAGAACCCAAGTTTCCTCTTAGGTTGATTTATGCGAGATGCGGGGTAGGTCCAGGAATGTATTACTCAGACCTTCATGTGAGTTGGAACTACGGAAATCTTGGGTTGACTCGTGCAAGATGCGGATCAGGTTCAAAGGACGCTCGGGAGTATCTTAGGTCGACCCAGGCATGATACAAAATAGGTCCATCAGTTGGATTCATGGTTTCCCCTGCCCTCTCCTCAACATGGCCAGGCATGCTCCCCTCCCTCTCCATCTCGACCATCAGCCGCATCAACCCCCGTTCCGTTTTCGCCCTCTACATCGTTTCTCGAGACGGTTCTCTTCTATACGACTATGAGTCCCTTACTGCTGAGCAACGCCCCTCAGCAACGATAAGATACGCTGGAGTAGCACCTTCCACACACTATCAGCGATAGC